TCTGTCGAATTTAATTCGTTGAATTGAATTCGACACGGCAGAAATGCGACGTATGAACCGGGCCTAAGCGTGCATTAAAATTCTTTGTTCATTTCTTTGCCGTTGTTTACAAAAGGTCACAAAACAACAACATGAAATAGCCACAGTCTGCATATTCGAGAGAACGTGACTATACCATGGCCAATTTTGAAATTTATTTTTCGAATTTCGACTCTGTCCTACATATTCTGTTTGGGGTATTTCTGACAGTATAGGCAAACTGAATGAATGTAATTCTCGCGAGTTTCGTTGGTTAAATATTAAGTCGTTGTAATGTAATGTAATTTGTTTACCCACGGAGCACCAAGGAGTTCACAGAACTCGTTCAGAAATTGTCCGTGCATTCAAGGATCGAATTGGAATTTGAGAAATGTTGGTTTTTGAGGAGAGGGGAAAACCGGAGTACCCGGAGAAAAACCTCTCGGAGCTGAGAAGAGAACCAACAACAAACTCAACCCGGCCACATATGACGCCGGGTCCGTGAATTGAACCCGGGACACATTGGTAGGAGGCGAGCGCTCTCACCACTGCGCCATCCCTGCTCCCTCGTTTTTGAATCGATGTTGCCTTTGGCGTTGTTGCCGTTGCTGCTTAAACTACTTTTGCTACTTGGGCAGCGAGCGTCTTCCTGCGCTTTCGACCATCTGTTTGTTCGGTTGCTTAGCTTGTGTTTGGACGTTTGTTTGCTTTGCACTCGTTTGTCTTCTCATTTCTCCGCCGTTCATTCAGTTATTGTTTGTGCAGGGGACATCCGTCTCTTATTTAAACTCCTATTAAAGTTTCGAAATTTATTAAAACATACCGAGTGCCGATGCTCCTTTGCTTGAATTGTAATCAAAATACCAAAGAGGACATTCCCACAGCGTTGGAGGTTTTCCTTCGCTTTGAAACGAAAGGAAACGAAACATAAACAGATCCTCCAAGAAAACATCCACGCAACGCGCGAGTAATATCCGCGGAAGAACTGGGTACAATGTCTAAAAATAACCTGAGAGGGATTACCTTAGTTAGAGGACCCATATGGGGGATCCACTCTCTTACCTTACCACGTTCTCTCGAATATGCAGACTGTGGCTATTTCATGTTGTTGTTTTGCTACCTTTTGTAAACAACGGCAAAGAAATGAACAAAGAATTTTATATAATAATCAAATCAATGCGCGCGCTCTGATTGGTCAATCAGCTATGGTTTATTGTGCCAGGAAATTTCGCGTGTCTTCTGAATTATTATATAAAAGCACTCGCACTCGAAGAAGCACTCGAAGAATTCGTAAATCACACGCCTGCGGCTCGTGATTTACGAATTCTTCTCGTGTTCTTCCAACATCCCGCGTGGTTTATCAGCCTATAAACCATAAAAACTTGTGGTCTATTGCTTAAATAACGCACACTTACACAGCCATTGTACTCGTTGCCGTTGCCGTTGAAGTTTGCTTAATTAAACTCCCTAAAACCGAATAAACAGCCAAACGAGCACAAACCAAACGAAAGCCCGACCGAACAAAAAAAACGACTGAGAGTGCAGAAAACATCTGTGCTCTGAAACGAAATCAAAACATATAAAATGACGTTCCCGCCATTTCGTCTCAGGTAGTTTCGAGAAAGTCGCTTTGTTTGTATGACTAAACCAAGTCATAAAAGCCACAAATGTATCAAAAGCATGAATATGTTGTTCTTGTCAATCTAATTACAAAAATACGCAATGAATCACTTCCTGTACGCCGGAACACGGTGAACAGTTTATATTTTGTTTGTAGTCAACCTCTGGACAGTATAATATTTTTAAAGTGTAAGACCTTTACATATAGGTTTCTTACAAATTTTGCTTCCATTGATTTTATAGCTACAATGTCATGCAAACCCTGGTACCTAGACCATCGAGTTTTAGTAGTATTATCGTTCTAATGTCTAACATTACCTGTCGCTTGTAGTAAAGCTCTGTAAACCTTGGCGTATCCATGTTCCAAGTTATCATTGTTGATGAGTAGAACAGATTCGTGCGCATGGACAACAAATATTGCAAAATCCATCTTCGTTGCAGGAATTGTTTTCGTACTCAACTCGGACATTTCAGATAGAGTGAAGCTGCGTTTCTCTACTTCGAATTCGAAGCCAATTCTCACTTTCGTTGCATTCAACAAATCCTCGACGATGCTTAACTGGTAAACATTATCGCAATTAAAAAGATAAAACTTGCGCGGCTCCGCCATCGTTTGACTTTCGTTTGGTCAAAGTACAATGTTCTTATATCCTTCTTGGCAACCTTGGTTTGCTTGACTAGTCGAAGCAGTTTCTTTCACGAATTTCAAAACGGAATTCATTTATTCCCAGAAAAAGCTTCGTAAACATCTGTGCATTGATCGTAACAATTCCGAGAAAACCGATCAAGCATGAAACATTACACAACCATGGTAGCTCGACCCCAGGCTCTCTCTCCTTTGCCCCTTTGTCGTTGAGGAGAGTGTCTCTCCCTGCAACGATAAGTACGATGGTTTGAAAGGGACACACTTTTCTCTCTCTGTTTTTTTTTTTTTTTTTTTTT